AAGTGGAAAAATGGAAAAAGACATTGATCCAGGTGAAAGCAAATGTAAAATACTGAATTATTTCCTGGCTGAAACAAATGGTTCATTTTGTTTGAGTATGAAGTATTCCAGTCAATCCTTTTGTTTTAGGCACTCATGAGAAAAAGCAAAGGAAATGAAAGGCTACACTCACAAAAGTGCTGGAGCTGGCCATGCTCTCCTCTATCCAATAGTCCAGTAGTTAGAGTGTGCATTCAGGATGTTGGATGGCTATTCGTGGGTATATTATTGTTATTATTGGTCCATTTTGCATAACTAGCTGGACACGTACCGGAGCAGGAACTGAAACTCAGGTGCCCTGTCTCCCAGACTAGAGTGTTGTTGTCTTACTTGCTCCAGTTCTGATTTGATCAAGGATGTTAGTGACCTAACCACCATGCTACAAGGGATTTCTAAGGGTAAATGCAGCCCTAACTAGGGTCGGGTCAATCTAAGTGCTGAATTGTACATACATTTGGGGAGTTTAGATGAGGAAGAAATGGCCAGCTCAATCTAACTGACTTCACCTCAGGAGGTGCACTATATAGATTGAGCTAACTGTGGGGCTGCGCTTTTCTTACCCCCACCCCTCCACACTGGCTGGGCCATTTTTAGCCTTCTGACCCTCCCACCCCCAGACAGACAACCCCCCCTCTCCCCCTAGGCTGACCAATTTCCTCCACACAGACCTAGCCCCCTCAGTCCTATCCACCCCACAGCAACTTACTTAGATCATATTTCTGTTGTGGCTCTTGGCACCAGCCAACAATTGGGGACCTGATCTACAATCACGTGGGTTAACGTAAGCTGCATAATTGTAGATTGGGATCCCAGGAATGTCTGCACATGCCCTAAGGATTTTAGTGACCTAACCACCAGGTTACAAGGGATTTCTAAATGTTCTTCCTGAATTTTCCCCCTAATTTGAATGGAGTGGTTAATTATTTGTTGAGCAAGAGAAGGTGAGAGAGAGAGAGACTGTCCTGGGAGTGGGACAGATGTTCTAGTCCCTGCCCCAGTGAACATTAAATTAATTGTGCAAAGTGCAACACTATCACCAGGAAAGACTGAGTTGCCACTTCCTAAAATACCTCATAACATAGAGGTCTTTGCCTGGGAGATGTGGGTTCAAGTCCCATCAAGCTGGGCATGTCTACATGAAACACTTTGCTGCGCAGTAGAGCTAATTACTGTGTAGTAAGCATCACTGTCTACACATGCCCACCTTTACTTCACAGTAATTTCCTCTACTCTGCAGTTAATTTGCTATCTGTGAATGCTAGCAGCAAATACATTGTCAACTAATTACTGCATAGTACGGCACATGTAGACAGCTGACCAGGAGGAGCATGTGCTCCTGGTCAGCTCGGCAGCAGGGGGCAGGAGATTGCTTTCTGCCCCTGGGAGCTGCCTGCTGCTGTGATTGGCTCTGCCACTGGAGCCTGGGAGGGGACAATGTTCCCCTGCCTCAGCAGCAGGCAGCTCCTGGGAGCAGGGAGCAATCTCTCACCCCCTGCTGCTGTGGGAGATTGTTTCCCTTGCCTCAGCAGCAGGCAGCTCCCAGCTCCATGATTGTGGAGCAGGGCTGGCTGCTCCCTGCATGGAGAGATTTCCTCACCTATCCTGGAGTTGGCTGGGACCCGCCCCTGACCTAGACAATTCCCAGCCAGCTCCGGGCTATGCAGGGAAATCTGCATGTACAGCCTGGAGGTGGCTGGAGATTGTCCTATTTCAGGGGCTCACTGCTAGCTGCCCCTTCTGCAGATCGGGGCAGGGGGCTAGAACCTGTCTCTCCCCTGCAGCACTTTCCAAGCCCCCTGCCCCCAGTCAGGGAGCTGGAAATGGGAGCTCACTGCTGCTTGGGCAGGGGGACATTGTCCCCAGCTGGGCTTTGCCACCAGAGCCCGCCCTGGCAGCAGGCAGCTCCTGGGGGCAAGGAGTGATCTCTCAGGCCCCACCAGGAGTTTCTCCTGGCCCCATGCTCCCTGCCCACCCCTGGGCTGGCACCCAAGGGGAGCCTAGAGCTCCCCACACATGTAGATGCCTACCCAGGGTGGGCTTACTCTAGAGTAATTTGTTCTAGAGTAAACCCACTCCACAACATTTGCACATCTAGACATACCTGCTGAGGAGGTAATTGGGTTTCCATATCTTAGTTGACCACCCTAATGTCCTCCTCCTATAGTTTTGTGAAGTCTCGTCCCCTCCTTTTTTCCCCAGCTGATAGTATTCAGCAAAATCAGCCTGAATTCATAAACAGTTTGGTTTGGCTGATAGTCCAATTTTTGGTGAATTTATTTTTTGACAATACATTTCTGCTTTGGTGTCACATCTTTATTAAGTTTCACAATTAGCTTGAAGGATGATTATGATTAAAGTATTTGGTAAACATGGCAAATTTTTACTTTATCTACTTGGTCAAATTATATTCATTAGCAAAAACTATGTTTTTACTTCTCCCAGCACTGCCAGTAAACATAGCTGTGAAAGACTATATGGTCATCTATTCTGCCTCATGCATCATCAGCAAAATTACCAACTATATTCTGAATCTAGAATTCTTTATTGTTGGTGATGAATGATGTGCTGGATGAAGCAGAAGGAGTGCATCTGGATTATTAGATATCATGCTGAGTGTGCAGTGCTGACAGTTAGCAAAATCTTGACTTCTAAGCTGAACAATTTTAATCTGAAAGTCACTGCTGGATAATAAATAGGGGACCAAAACATAAATACCTATGGAATCATTCTTGTGTTCATTGCCATACTTTGGGTAATATAACATAATAGTAGCACTTTGCAGTTCTGCTTATCACACCTTTCATTCTTGATATCAAAGTACTGCACAGATTATATGTACAGAAAGCATTTTTCCTACTAATGAAATTCTAAAATACAGTTCAACTTTCTGAATCAGAAAAATAGTACAGAACACTTTTTATGAGACAAAAGCAATGTATTTTAAAACAACATATAGAAAATGCACATAAAGAAGAAAATACCTATGTTTCTTGTGTGGAAATATTTTTATCCATTCACTAAACGCTCATTTCTTATTTGTATTAATGGTCTATGAATATTTATAAAAAACTGAATAAAACTCCTAAAGAATGATTGTCTCCTGCTACCACAACATATTAATATGGAAATCTAAGAAGTGAAATAAAAGCTTCCTTTTTCCAAAATCTGCTTACTAGGGAAGAAAGGAGAGCTAATGAAATTCATGTGAATCCAGACACAGAATATGATGCGTCCATTTCTTAGTTATTGCCCTGCTGACAAGACATGTATCCACTGGTTTGTTTTGTTTCATGTATTTTTTAAAAGATCAATAGTAAAAGCTCTCACAGACATGAAAACTTAAAATTTGCACCTGCTAATACCCAGAAAAAGAGCATCCTACCTCCTTATGAAGAAGTACAAATGTTAGGGATTTTGAATGGGGTTTGGGGAAAAACAGGGGAAAATAATAGATTTAACTCAAGTACTGAGCCTGTAGTGGGGATAACAGTTTCTTCATTTGTGGTGAAACTAGACTACTTTCTCTTTTTTTTAATTAACTGTTATTTGACCTCTCAAAAATTGGAAAGTTGTCTGGTTAATTGCTGTAGTAAGTAGAGATAAGTCAGCTCTGAACTTCCTCAAAGTTTTTGTGCCTTATGATTCAGGATTTTTTTTGGCATTATATCTGATGATAAAAACAGCATATATATAGCTATCAGTAGACAACTCTGATCCTATTTTGTAACCATTGTTTCTAAAGAGGTTATCATGCAGTTAACTTGAAAGACTGACTGGTATTTCACAGTAGCTGTCTAAATAATTCATATTACTACCATAGCAGGTACAAATTATAACACTTGTGATTCATTGGCAAAACATACCACATGCCAGTTGTTTTACTAGAAGTGTTTTGGCAGAGCACTCCATCAGAGGAAAGGTCAACAACATAATTAAAAAAACAGGGATTACAACTGCAGTTGTCCACAGTGGGTAATTTATTCCACAGATACCAGAGCTGTTGCATATCAATGTACGTGTTCTGCCAGAAATGCACTTATAAATAGGTTCCTTATTTGTGATAACTAGGACTAAGTCCTCATCTCTTTTTGCAAAACCTGAGGAAATATGGTTATTATAAAGGGTCCCATGACAGAGGTAAGACTAGAGCACAGTACTTCCTTGCAGACAGTATAGCCACCCTGAAGCTGCTTATGCATCTCAACATTATTCAATGACATCTATTAGATGTGCCTCGTTAAGGAATTCCCCTAGCCTTCCCCTAGACATTTTACTCGCACCTTAATTTGTTACTGACCCCTGAATCTGGGGTGTGTGTTGAATCTAGCTGAAATCAACTATTTGATCCCTTGAGCTTTATTAAAAGCTTGTTATTTTACCAAACTCAGTTAACATTGGTCTTGCAGTTTTAGTAAAAGTCAGTAACAATTATAACTTCTTTTCCTGACAAATTCCTAATGAAATAATTTAATAATTTTGCTCACATGGTTGGAAAAAAATGTTCAGGACACAAAATATTAAGATAGCATTTTATTCATGATATTTTAAGCCAAGTAAAAACAGCAGTCTGCTATATATCATAATTTCCTTTCCTCCTAATTTGGATGAATTTGTGTGCAATGAATTAAGTGGGCTGGACATTAGACAGAGATATCCAATATGCACAAATCTCCTATATGCCAACAAAGTTTTATATTCCTCTAGTTTTTCTTATATATTCTCTGTTAGAGGGTAAAAATATAAACTAGCCATAAGAAGCCACAAAGTAAAACCTTCTACAGTCAATTCTTACTTACATCTTTAGAATTCCGGTTTGCTATTTCACGTAGCAGTTACTAGGAATTTATTATAAAATGTAGAATATAAACAAAGCCTTACATACATTTATGTCCTGTAAGACTTAACATTTATTTTGTCCATGGGTGAATGAAATGCAATGTAATAACAATCAGTATGCTTACCTGCTGAATACTATGTTGATTAAAGTCCTCTTTGAAATGCAGCTTTCTCTCCAGATCTTTAACAACTGCTGCTTTATTGTCTCTGATATAATCATCTGTTGCTAACTGCAGAGGTTTTAGATTTTTCTTGGATAGTCCCTGAGTCGATCTAAACATATATTAAAAAGCTGTTACTTAAACATGCAGATAATAAACAATAGTTGATTCCTTGTGTAAGGACATTCAGTAAGCTTTGAGGATGGCACATCTAGAAGAAAATAACCATAATAATATTATAATAAACATCTTGGTTTCAAATCCTTAATTTCTAGAATGTTGCTTTCACAATAATGTAATCTACAAAGTGCAAAGTGCAAATACCTAGGCGTAGATACAAAAAAGAGTTTAACCTTCTCTTCCACATCTCACTTCTTTAGTGATGAGTCTTTCTTTCCTCTACCTACCTCCGACCACCTCTTCTACACCTAATTCCCACCTTTCTATTTCTGAGATGTTGCCTGTTGTAACCAAATAGAACTTTAAATAAATGTTAGCTTATTAAACAATAACAGTTCATAGGCTAAGAGTCCACAATTATGGACCATAATTACCAAAGCAACTAGGGGATAAATTTGGAATGCTCTAATATTTACATCAATTGTGTTCTGACTTAGGGAAAGTAATAGGCAGAAGAAATAACTGTTCGTTGTTGTGAACAATATATTAATTTTAGATGGCCCAGCACAAGTCTTTTACTACTTCTTCTATAAGCATTATTTATCCCATCAGTAAAGACTAATAAAAATGAAATCTTTGTAAATGTTCACTGTAGCAGGCTGTACAGTATAGGAACTGCAGCTGCAAGCCTGCTCCGTAGGACTGAGCTAGCTGACAAAGATAATTAGCTGGCTCCATGGGAGTTAAGAGGCTCCCAGAGAGAGCCCAGGGAAAGACAGGAAGGCTGTGGGGCTGGAGGTAGAAGCCTGAGCCAAGACTTTCTCCACGGTCTGAAAGACTGTGAAGAAACCCAGAGAGATGCTAAAAGCACTTATACATGAGCGGAGAGGCTGCTCCAATGTGCTATAATTACAGCATGTCAAAGCAGAGTTGATTAATCGAGTCTGCTGAAGTGTGGTAATTACCATGCTCCAGCAGATGCCAGTATTTTGTGTATTGGTGTCCCTGCACTGAAAAATGACACTGGGGCACTTTAATTAAAGCCCATTGAACGAGCTTTAGTTAAAGTGCCCCTGCTGCCATTTTTCAGTACAGGGACGCTGATACACAAGACACTTCAGGCAATTTAATTAGAGCAGCTCTCAGAGCCTCTCTAATTAAAGTGCCCCCCCAATTCCTGGAACATGTGTATAAACTCCTGAGAGACTGTGAGTTGACAGAGAGACTGGGACTTGCTGATGGAGGTAAAAGAGTGAGGAGTTAGTGGTGGCATACCCAAGCCTGGGCACTTGCACTGGTTTGGGAAAAGACCATAGGTTACTTGTTTATTTTATTTGCATTGTTAATTATCTGTGTTGATTTCTGCCGGAAGGGAGTGTGTCCCAGGGAAACAATGACAATGAACAAGGATTGCAAGCAGACAAAGACTGTTTGAGTGAAGCAAATTCCACAACCTGCTATGTTCACATATTGGCACAAATACTTTTCAGCTCCATGTGTGATTATTTTTAAAGCCCTCTATTGAAGAAGGCTAGAAGCTATTTAAATGAGGAATCAGATCTGGACTGGGAGCCAGGAACTGTATAGGGATAATAATTGTTAAGTACCATACCTTAGCAGTGTGGTGAGGATTTAATTAGTTAATATTTGTACAGTGCTTTAGAAATGCAAAGTACTTGTTCACTTGCTCCAATAAGGGAGTATGTTTGTCATTTTTTTGCTTATATTTGTGAAACTGTGAAAGGGTGTTTACAGAAGTTGCGTTTGTTGTGCAATGAGGCCCCTGAAAGCACTCTGCAGCCATAACGTAACAAATATTCATGGCTACAGAGCATTTTAAAATGGCCAATTGTGTGAAAATCTAATTCTTGTCTGATAAAGTATCTAACTCATGGTGCTTTGTATAAAGCGTCATGAGTTAGTGTGCCTCCCCAGTAGGCTGCCTGCACTTGTGTAAGCACCCAAAGCTTTTAGGGATTTCAGTCACTGTTTGGTAGAGGCAAAGGTGAAACCCTCAGGCCAAGTACACGAGCTCTGGTTTTTGTATCTGGCTTCAGTGCTGTGACTGTAGAGTACCGGCATGTTCCAGAGGAATTCTCCTCTGTTTAGCAGAAATAAATGGCTCAGTGATGCTGAGCAGTCTATAATGTAGAAGGGGTTAGGCTTCTTGGAGCCTTACTTTGAAAGGCAGATGACTGTTAGGAGCACAGCTACAAACATGTCTAGTTTTATCTGTGTTTGATATAGAGTTATGGTTCA